GTCAAATCAGATCTGACTGGTACAGGAGGAGACTGCCCCCTCCTTCTCCAGCACAGCATGTGGTGGATTTGAACCGTGTACCTCTGGGATTGCAGTGCAGCGTCTTGCCACTAGGCCACCAGAGCTCCCTGGAATTAAAATCTTTTTAAGAAAGGAGAAAGACCTTAGGTTGTTGGCTCCTAAACAAATGGAAGTCTTTACACATGCAAAATAACGAAAATTAGCATTTGTATGTAAGATTCCCTCTGAAAACACACAAGAGTTTTAAGTTTTCTCCTGGTACATGTCTTGAGTCTACCTTAACAGCTGCCTCAAGACTAAGAGCCCCACTTTTAACTGCCTTGTCTCACAATCCACCATAAGCTAGCACATCCATTCAAGCAATGATATCAGTCTGCAGACTAAGGCGTGCCTGATCCAGGCCATGGTCTTTGTAATTACTTGCTGTGGATCAGAGCTGGATAATGACTAGGGATGATAAATGAAGAGTTGATACCTTTGAGCTCTGGTGCTGAAGAAGAATACTGAACATACCATGAACTACTAGGAGAGCAAACAAGTTCATCCTAGGGATGGGAAGCCAGGCTGGTCCTTGGAGGCAAGGTTTCTGAAGCTTCATCTGACATACTTTGAACATGTTGCAAGGGGCGGGATCAGTTCTTAGAGAGGGATGTCATGTTTGAGAGGGTGGAGGGACAGAGCCCGAGAAGAAAACCTCAAATGAGATTGATTGATTCAGTCACTGGGGTAGTGGGGATGGGCGTATCGGAGACAATAAAACTGGCAAGGGATAGAGCAGGGTTCAGGGCTGTTGTACATGGGGTCATTATTAGTCGCAGGCAACTTGATGGCACATAACAACAATATCCTCTCTAGCAGAAACCCCTCTATGCTAAGGTGCCTGTCTGCTCTGTCCAAATTATCTCACAAGACATTAACTTATTATTCCTGAAAGTGTACTGATAACAAAATGGTTTAGCTTTTTAGCAGTCTGCTCCAACTCGTTTTTTTTTTCATATGCCCTATATACTTGTATGGAAACCGTATTTTTTTTCAATCACACAAATGTTAAAGAAAATTTTCCCATCATTCCAAAGTAATAAGTCTCTTAACAGTTGGTATCTCAATCAGATTTTACAAACAAAATCTAAGTTCTTCATCTGTTAGAGAAGCTCGAATCAATAACTGTAGTTATTGTAGCCTCTGTCTCTTCTAATCATGCTACAGATTCTATGCATTTTCCTTATGCACTGTCCTTCATATCTTTTCAACTACCATTTGCTATAAATGAAAGCTTCAGCATTTCTCATCTGGGTGGGTTTAACAGTCCCCTGTTACACCCTCTTACAAAACTTTTTCATTCCAATCCAAATCCCATCATACTTAAGAACTATTCTCCTAAAAATACAAATCTGCCTGTACTATTCAAAAACCATAAATGGCATTCTCCTGTGCAGAAGACTAAACACTGCTCCACTTTTATCTCATTCTGAACACTCTCTTCACGTAACATCCTAGCAGGACTAACAGAGGTAAACCATACAAACTACTGAGTATCTTCTCTATAAAGAAATACACTTAACACATATTAGCTATTAGAACTACCCTAGATTATCTGACATTATCGTCAATTCTAATAAAGCCATCTTATCCATCCTTGATATTGAGCATCTTAACTTCCTTTTCTTTGTATTATTAGAAACATGGGTCAAATCCTAGTTGCACTACTTACTGGTTGCTGTGGCTATCAGCAAGCTATTCAGCTTTCTGAACTTCAATAATGTCTATAGCATGAGAGTGCTGAAAAAGCAAAATGATACAGCACATGCAGGTTGCCTAGGGAAAACGGTTTGTTACGTGCTGTAGAGTTAAAACTCACAGCTGACCCCTTAACAGGTTTTCAGAGGCTGTAAACTGCACAGGAGACTGGCCATTTTCTCCTGCAGAGCAACTGGTGGATTCAAACTGCTTGCCTTTGGGTTGGCAGTACAGCTTCTTACCAGTAGACCACCAGAGCTCCCTAGAAAAGAAGTGGTACCATAAATGTCAGTTTTCGTAGAGTGTTCATTTACTGAATGAACACAGAGCTGTTTTCCTTCCTGCACCCCAAGGCAAGTACTGAGAGGAATTCATCTGAGATAAATGGCTCAAAAGTCTTAGAAGAATCTTTTTCTACATTATCAGAGGCAAAATTATCAATAGCTTACAATGCTTTGCTAGATAATTTATACTGACTGAGAATTTACTGAGACTTCTCCATTTGCAGAAGTAACAAACAGTTCGAGCAGCTTGCTATTACGTATAAATAAAAATACTTTTAAGAGAGTTTTCACTATCTTTATATAATAAATTCCATTTAAAAGACCTATATGTATACACAGAGAAATCTGGTGGCATAGTCTATAGTGAGCCGAGCATTTTATCTGAATGTTTTTTCCTATGTATTTGTAAGAAAAGAAATGCAAGAGGAAGAAGGAACAATTTTTTCAACAAATGATGCTAAAAAAACTAAATAAAAAATAATAGCAAAACGAGTAAAGCTGGACTTTATTTCACACTATATAAAAAAACAATTCAAAGTGATAAAAATAATACAAAGTGAGTCAAAGTTTAAGTTTAAGAGCTAAAAATTATAAAATTCCTAGAACACATGGGGCTTGATCTTCATAATAGTTTTTGTGATGTGATATGATACATAAATCAAAAAGCAAAGAAAAACAGATAAAATAAACTTCATGAAATTTAAAGGTATTGTGCTTAAAAGAAAAATGAAGAAAACTCAAGTTGAAATTTACAAATGTTGCTATGAGTCACAAGTGACTCGACACCACATAACAACAACATAACTGATAAGAATTTAGTGTTTATGTATAACCAGAAGTCTTACAACGAAAACTTTAATGTTGTAAATACACAGTTCTCTAATAAAAATATATAAATGGCCAATAAGCACATGAAAAGATGTTCAAGATGTTCAATATCATTTGCCTTCAGGGAAATGCAAATAAAAACTACACTTTACTCCTACTACAAAGAGTCCATAATAAAAAAACAAATGCAATCTTAAGTCTTAGCAAGAATGTGAGGAAATCAGATAATAATAGTATATAATAATTTAAAAATAAAATTAAAAATAATTAGTTATCATATGTAAAAATTCCTCAAAAACACAGGTATCCTATATTCCCAGCAACTCGCAACTCTACTTGTAGATATTAAAACATGACTGTACACAAAACTTGTACAGATGTTTATAACATTATTCATAATAGAAAATGAATCTAAATACTAATTGATAAATGCATAAACAAAATACAATAAATCTATACAATGATATAGATTGATTTACTCTAGTCACTCACATGAAATAAAATGATACCTGCTACACGAATGACCAATGAAAACATTATGTTAAGAAAAATGAACATGGAAAACATTTTCATAATTTCATTTCACACTTTTAAAATGTATTTACAAATGTTGATACATCTTTCTTCATTGTAACATTCTGAATATATACCTTCCATAATAACTCTATTTCCTGGTACTCAAAAACCAAAATAAAAAATGCACTTATTTATTCTAATAAGCATCTGAAATCTTATTTTGGGCTCTAATTTCAACTTTTTTTGTGAATCAAGGAAAATAAAATTTCCTAATAACTGTACTTTTTACAAAAGGAGTTAACAGAAATTAAAGTAACATTCTGACAGAAAACGGTGCTGAATAGCACTTTAAACAATTTAAAAAGTTCTACTTACTATAAAACATCGAATAATAAAAATTATTTATATTTTGTCTTTAAAGATAAAACCAAAAGCTACATTCTTATTACCTTATCTTTGGCCTCCGGCAGTGTGATTTCTCTAGGTTCTAAAAATGATATTTCTTGAAAGGGTGGAACACATCTGACTATATCTGGTACATAGTGTGGATGAAACAACGGTGGCATTGAGTATCTTCTTTCACCTGATAAAGGCACTATCTGGTTAACTATAGCTGGCTCTTGGTGGGGTGAATGGAAACGTTGCCGTTTACCGTCAATTGGAAGGTTTTTTTCATCGCTTAATCTCCTGAAAACAAACAATATAACCTTAGTGATTAAAGATGCAACTTTGTGCCTTCAAATAGAAAATAGCAACATACTGAGTAGCATGTTGTTGTTAGGTGCATGTGTTGTTATGTGTCCCCATAGGGACCTCATGTATAGCAGCTCTGAGCTATACATGTCCTAATACTATCCTAAGCCAGTCTCACTTAGTTCTGATACAACCCCTACTACCCCAGTTACATAATAAACAAATTGGCTAAAAAAGACAAATTTTTTTAAAAATATGAATAAAGTCAATACTTTTCATGTCAAAGAGGTAGTAAAGTCATTCAGGTTTGTGTGGCCAGGTGAATTTGACTTCAGGACAGACAATGATAACCAAGCACAGCCCAGGGCTAATTCCTTGGAGGTAGATGTCAAACATACCTCCATTCTCCAACTTTGTTTTTAACCAATTCTAGCATCAGCCATCCTGCCAATGTTACTCCCTAGTTCTCTGATGGTCTGGATGACTGGTTCCAAAGACAGCTTTAAAAACTTGTCATGCTTATAAGCACAGAGTTAGACTGGAGAAGGGTACCTGGATTCAAATCCCAGGTATGTCACTTGTAGGTGATTAACTAGTTATGTAACTTCTCTATGCTTCAGTCTTCTCAACCTAAGAGGGATAACCATACTCCTAAGGCATTACTATAAAGCAAATCAGTATTTAAAGCCGTTAGAAAAATCAGTCTGGTGGCTTAGTGATTACGAAATCGTGCTGCAATCCCAAAGGGATGCTGTTCAAATCGACCAGTAACTCCACAGGAAAAGGATGGGAAGCCTTCTCCCACACAATTAAATGCCTGAAAACCCACTGGAGGGTGAGCTACAGCTCAGTTCTGACTCGATAGTACACAACAACAACACATGCTAAATGTTCAATAATACACATCTAAGGAGTTCTGAAGGTGTGGTGATTTATAGGTTCTGCTGCTGACACAAAGGACTACAGTTTGAGTTCACCAGTTGGGAGATAGATGGGTAGTATTCTCTTTCTTATAAAGACCAACAGTCTCCAAAACGCCACGGAAGGCTGCCATGAGTTGGTATTTACTCAATGGCAGCAAGGTTTTAGTTCTACTTTTAATTAGGCAAAGATTTTCCAACATTTATATATGTTTTTAAGTAACAGCAGTATCTTGCAAATATTGCCGTATCTTATTTCAATAATCAATACAAAAGTTTCATTGTCATTATTTTATTAACACATCTTTCGAACAAAAAAGGCTAAAATCAACTGGCTCCTGACTAAAGCGCTTTCTGGCTTGTGGAGGTTTTTATAATAAGATTAGAATGGGGGGGAGATATAATGGAATGTTACCAATATATGATTTAAGTAAATCAAAAGAAAAACACAGTAAACTTCACTATAAAGATCATCTGACTTAGTTTAAAATCTTAAGTAAAAAGTAGCTTCCTGAAGAAGTATAGCTTCATTCTAGCTAAAATTTATAATAGTGAAAAAGGAACCGTCAAAATAAAAAAAAAAGGTAAAAATGTTTCTGTGCTTACACTGATTGCTCAGGTGAAAGAAAAGCAAAATTTAGGAAACACTGCCAATGTAATTCTTATAGAAAAGATATTAGCATATAATTTTTTTTAAATGCAAAATTTTCTTTTCAAACTATTAAGTGAAAAGTACTTACTTCCTTCCTCGGAATAATGGGGAGGCTGAGGTCTGTATTGGACTGACATTTCCATATGTCAACTGTTGTAATGACACAGCTCTAGACAAGCTACCAAAAACAGAAAGAACAATAATAAAACATCTTTTCCTAAAACATAAAAAAACTTTTCCAGAAAAACTATTATTCTGATAAAAAGAAAAGATATATTTCCTCAAATGTTACATTTTATTCAAACGTTTCATACAAAAAAGTGTATTCAAATAGACAATAAAATCTACAAATCATAATGAATCAAAGTACCACCATACTTACTCTGCATTCTGAAAGTTGAACTGTGCATCTATAAGCTGCTGGTGTGAATAAAGAGCTGGTGACAGGGCAAAGAAGTTATTATGTTGTTGATGGTTTGGAGTAAAGGGAGGGCGTCCCAAAACTGAAGAATTTGGGAACATGCTCTTGTTCACTAAAAGTGAACATGTATTCTTCTACCTAGAATAAATTAAATATATATCCATTATTATAGTTTAAAGACAATTAATAATCTCTAAAAGACAGGGTCTTGCTGCCACAAGCCTTG